GGTGGCAGGAGGCGCCCGCGCCGCAGCGGCACGTGTGCGCACAGGCCTCGCCGTAGCGCCCGGCCGGGCAGCCTGCAGGGAGGGCCGCCATGTGCCGGGGCTCCGCGTTGGCCCCGGCCCTGCCCGGCACCAGCACTCACCAGTGCCGCAGTCGGCTCCCACGTAGCCCGGCRGGCAGTGGCACTGCCCCGTGCCAGGGTCACACAGGCCCCCGTTGCGGCAGCTGCACAGGCGCTCGCAGCCGGGGCCGTAGCGGCCCTGGGGACACGCTGCGGAGCAGAGGAGAGGGAGAGGGACACGGTGGCCTCAGYGATGGTGGCTGTGCCAACGACGGCAGCAAACACACCACCGGCAAAGAGGTAGGGTRCCAGACTGGGGACAACACGCCCGAAGGCAGCCTGGGGAGCCCTGGACAAACACCGTGTCCCTGAGGAGCTCTGAGGACACGCTGCTCGCCCTGCCTCAGCCTCGAGCTGCAGAGCCGGGCACCAGCTCCCTGCAAACCCTCAGCCATGCCGCGGAGGAGCTGGGCAACCGCGGCAAAGCCAGAGGGTGAGCTGGGCATGCGGAGCAGCTTCGCCTGCCCGTGCAGCCCGCGGAGGCCGCACACCTGCTGCCCGCGCGCCCGCGGCACGCAGCCCGACTCACGCTGCTGGCAGCCGGGCCCGTGGTAGCCGGGCACGCAGACACATGCCCCCGACACCGGGTGGCACTGCTGGTGCGCGCCGGGGCACTGGCAGGTCCGGCCGCAGCTCTCCCCGAAGGTGCCAGGCTGGCAGGCTGCAGGAGAGAGACAGCAAGGCGACACAGCTCGCTTGGGGCCACCCCAATAGCAGACTTCTTCTTTGCCAGCCAGGTTTTAGAGGCTCTTCATTGCAGAGACAGTTTTCTGCCAGGCCAGAACCAAGGGCACTGGATCCCAGCTCCCGCAGCCCCGCAGTGATTCCGGGGCAGGGGAAAGCAGAGGACTCCGAGACAGCAGCTGCTGCCRCAGCACAAGCCAAGCCCTATCTATGTACCCCGGGCCCGCAAGCTTCCACCCCAGCACACACACACATCCCAGCTGCACCCATTGCCCCAGGTGAAGAATGTGCTCACGTGCCTCCGTCCCTCCCAGGCTTGCTCGCGCCCACAGGAGCTCATCCTAATTCTGATTTAYTGCACCTCCTCTTGATAAATGCAGAGCTCTGCTTTCCCCCTTGGCTTCCTGTGCTTTGCAAAGATAATATGGGCACGCCAAAATGTGTGGCACTCTTTAGCAAACCTCTTTGCTGGGTGGGGGTGTTTTCTTCTTATTTATCTTATTTTAAACAGCAGTGGCCTGCCCCACCGAGTTYCCCGAGCCTGTCAGCACAACCGCAAGAGGCTCATTCCCTCACTCGTACATTTTTCACATCCTGAGCCGGTAAATCCTGGCGGGCAGCCACACTGGCCCGTGACGTGATTGCAGGGCATCCCCAGGGGACAGGCACAGCGGCTGGCACAGTTCTTCCCAAAGAAGCCGGGCAGGCAGGCTGTGGGAAAACACGCAGGACGTGTAAGTATCTTGACTGGCTTTCAAGTTATTGTTAATGAGACGGTAGGAAAGAATCCTGAGGCCCAGGAATGAAGTTTAATTAAGGATTCAGTGTGATGCAGCTCTAGCCTGCTGTGACATAGCAAAGACCTTTGCCTACCAAGTGAACTAAAGAGMTTCACTGTGCTACCTGGGTGACTTCTGCCCGACACCGATGACGTGAGCAAAGCTCAAAGCRTCTCCACAGAACTTTCTACCCTTCCACGTCCCGCTGGGCACACTGAGTTCAGGTTGGCAGAAGGCMGCTCTCGGCTGCTGTGGCCCCTTGCTTTAGCACGCATGCAGCACTCACCCTTCTCGCAGCGCTGGCCTCTCCAGCCAGGGGGACAGTCGCACGTGCCAGTGACATGGTGGCACGGCACCTCGTCCCCGCAGTCACAGTGCTCTTCACAGTGGGCTCCAAACAGCCCCTTTGGGCAAGCTRCAGAGGTGCGAACACAGAAGGAGAGAGGGCAAGTTGCACAAACCAGGTGCCAGAGGTCCTATTTCACAGCACACCTTCCCTCATAGCACAGGGATTGCGGCTATGTGTTACACTTAAAGACAGGGCGAACACAGGAGTCTGGAGAATGACAGATGTCATTATTTGCTGGGGCTTCGGACCCAAGCCAGGCACTTAGGGTCAGTGCAATCAGACCAGAGACAGGCAAGTGCAAAGCAGGAGCAGAGAGGAGATGATCTCCAGCTCCTCAAGAAATAAATGACCTTTTGTCTCTACTGCCTGGATTTCTGTGTTGGACAGTTCCCAGGACACCCGCTACTCCGCACTGCGGCCCCGGCTGGAACCAGAGCCCCTGCTCGGATGCCCAGGGCTGGTGCTGGGGAGCCCTCTGCTCTCCTGCTCCCACCGGCCAGGGTAGCTGTGCAGCCCCTCCGTGCAGCCTGGACTTTAGAGAGGACCCCAGGGAGAAGCAGAGAGCAGAGCACTAGGCAAAGTTAGTCTACACACCCCAAACCCCAGCACGTGCAAGCCCTCTGCCGAGCGCAGAAACCCCAGTTTGCCTTAGAAACTGCCCSGCAGACGCTGGGGGCCGCGTGCGCCTCACTTACGGCTCTGGCACTTCTCTCCGGTCCAGCCGGGCGGGCAGCGGCAGAGCCCCGTGCGGGGCTCGCAGCGCCCGCCGTGCTGGCACGCGCAGCTCCGCCRGCAGCCGGCCCCGTACAGCCCCTGCGCACACTCTGCGAGCAAGGAGCGGGGTGAGGCGGCGCCTCGCCGCGCTCGCACGGGGCGGTGAAGGGACAGGGTGGGTTTCCATCGCACCCGCAGTGCAGCGCGGGCCCTTCCCAGCTCTCGGGGACGTGTGGCTTACCCAGCTCGCAGGCCAGCCCCGTCCAGCCGGCGGGGCACGCGCACTGCCCCGTGGCGGCGTCGCAGCTCCCTCCGTTTTGGCAGAGACACTGCTGGTGGCAGTTTGCTCCATAGGAACCGGCTGGACACCCTGCGGAAAAGCAGCCCAAAGAGGAAGCCTTCCCGCTGCCCCCTGCTCGGACGAGCACTCGGAAGCTGCTGCTCAGGGGGCAACCAGGACGGACCAGCGCAGCCCATGCTCCTGTCCCCGAGGTGACCACGGGTGTTGAAACATGACATCAAACCTGGCAGCCACAAAGCCTCTCCCCTGCCCTATCCCATCTGGCTTCCAGACTGTTTTGGGAAGCCCCCTCAATCTGGGAAGTGCCACCCAAGGAAAAGCTGAAAGCCCCAACACAGTAGCAAGGGGAGAGGCACCAGAAATCCATCACGCTGCTAAGGGAGCCCAGGGAAGAGCCATCGAAGTGACATTAACCAAGCACAGCGCTGGCGGTTAATGCACGGGACACAGAGGGTGGCTTTGGCTCCGCCACCAAGCCGCATGCTTGCCAATTCCCTCGCCATCTAAATAAAGCTTGGCACAAGGCTGCGATGGACCCGGCCTTTTCAAAGGCCACATGAAGGGGTCTTTCATAACAGCAAACTTGGACAACATGAACTAGATCGTGAACTCCGCTTGGTCTGCACTTTTCCCGGGTTTGCTTTCCCATTAGAGAAGGGATTTGTGTTCACCTCCTCGTTGTGCGGGGAGGGTCACAGCCCCGTGCTTTGCTGGTTCCCACCCGGCTGCAACTGGTGTGGGCTGGGAAGTTGCTGACACGGCCACACCACAGAGCTGCCTCGCGGGCAGGTAACCGTGCTCCTATCTGGGGAAAACTTCCTTAAAGTAGAGGCCCGCAGAAAAATCACTTAGTAACGCAGTTTAACCAACCCATCTGTGTGAGACATTGCTTTGGTGGGAGCAAATATATAACACAAAAAAGGTTGCGTGAGTCAGCAGCTGTGAAGGATGCTCAGCTGGTACTCAGGGACTTCAGTCCTGAGCTGCACAACACCCTCACCTTTAGAGCCACTGCTTAGCAAAGAAAAAGCATTGAAACACACACGTAACTGCTACCATCTGCACAGTTTCATTGAGTTTGCTTGAAAGCATTGCTGGCTTTGTGCCTGGGTGCTCAGTGCAGTGGAAGATCAAGCCTTATTCTATGTGTTGTACAAACTGCAAGTCAGGCAATTCCTGCTGCTCTTGGAGAGGGTAACCTTTTGGCTCATGTCTTTGTGAATGAATTAGTAAGTGCTGCACAACTAAGAATGATCTTATTTGCAATCTTGTTGTGCTCTCACACTGCCTCAGCTCTTTGYAGGTGCTACGCTACTGAAAAGTCCGATCAATGCACAGGAATGGCAGTTAGCAGTAGTGCACATTGGCACATTCTTCCCCCATGTCGAGGGAACGGACAATCTGGATTATGAAGTGACACGAGGCCATGTTACCTTGCTGGCATGTGGGTCCCGTCCATCCAGCTGCACAGAGACACTGGCCGCTAACGTGATGGCAGGTAGCGTTATTGGAGCAGTTGCACGGCTGGCTGCAGTTCTCGCCAAACGTGTTCTCCTGGCAAGCTTCATGGAATCACAAGTAGCAAAACTGTTAGATAACAGGTATTAACTACATCACCCAGACTCCTACTAGTGAACCAAGCTGGAAGAAGACCCAACACCCACATTAACACAAAATGGTGCCTGGCAATGTTGTGTAAGTTGTTTTTATGGTGTCATGGAGAAATAACAGCTGTATTCTACACAGGGCTGACATTCATGCAGCCTCCCCACAAGCGCTGTTGTTATTCTTAGTGTTACATCATCTGATCTGCTAGGAAACTGTTTTGCCCCAAGTCTCATTACAGGCAATGGCAGTTGTTGAGACAGCCATTCAAAGCTTTGGGAAATAACCCTGCAGACAGAGCGCACTTGCCAAAAGAGTCCCCTGAGGCTGGGAGTCTGCATCAACACTAGAGAGGTCCAGGTCCAAAGCACCTCTGAACCGCTCTAGTCCATAACACTTGGCTAAAAAGTTTACAAGAACAGATTCTTCTGAGATTTTCTGGTATTTCCTCCTTGGCCTATAATAGATGCTACACAAAGAAACTGGTCGTCTTGGCAATGACACCTTGGGACAGGGCCGGGATCTGGCAGTATCAGGCACATGTGAAGAGAGATACAAAAATGACAAAAGCTAAGTCAGCATTTTGCTGCCTCCCTCAGGTCTGAGCTTATATAAGACAGTGGGGCTCACCCTTTCTCTTTGGCAGTGCTATTCTTAGCAACAAAAGTGCAATTAAATAAAAGCACACAAACATGCAAGCAATCTCACAGAGGGCAGCACGAGACTGTGATGTCTCCAGTTTCTAGCTTCACTTTCTGCTAGGCACATGTACATTCTAAGTGAACACACACACACACAAACACACACAGTTGCAACTAGAGCTGAGCTGTTAGAGGAGGCACAGGAAGAAACGCTCATTTATGCAATCCGCAGAATTTGGACTCCTCTTTGGAGTCTTTCTGCATGAAGGGACAGAGACAGCTCCCACTGCTGGTCCTTTTGCAAGGACCTTCTGAATGCAACGTTACCTCTACAAACACAGGCTGCCTGGGCCCCTAGCAGATGCACCTTAGGTGGCTGGAGACCTTAGTGACACCTACTCTGGTTGCAGATGGGGCCGGCCCAGCCCGGTGGGCAGTGGCACTGGCCTGTCGCGTGGTCGCAGTGGGCTCCATTCTGACATTTGCAGGTTTCCTGACACTCCAGTCCGTAAAATCCATCTGGACAGGCTGTGGAAAACAAAAAAAGAAAAGTCCCCCCACACGCCAAATGCCTTTATAAGTGTCAGTGTGCAGAGAGGGACACTCTCAAGGAGGAGATTCCGCTCGGAAGCATGGAATGCTGTGCAGATGTGACAGTTTCCTGGGGCTCCTGCCTCCCCGACACGGTGGCAGAACTYGAGCTGCATGTTCACAACGGGCACCCAAGGCACACAGCACAGCCCGGGGGAGAAGACAAGCAGTGGCAGCAATGGGGGCTTCTGCCTCCCAGGGCTGTCTAGGCTGAGGGATTCTCTTGGCCAAAACAGTGTAACTAAGGCAGGCAAGGAGCACATCTCCCATGSACAAGACGACTGTGATACGAGAGAGTTTCCCAGCACTTGGCTCCTCCAGCAAAGGATACTCACCGCGMTCACAGAAGGTGCCTCTCCAGCCCGGGCTGCAGGTACAGGCGCCGCTGACATGGTCACACAGAGCCCTGTTGGCACACTGGCACCGGTGCCGGCAGTTCAGCCCAAACCAGCCTTCTGGACACGCTAGCAAGCAGAAGAAGCAAAGATTGAGCAGTCTGTCCTTCCCCGGCTCCTCCACAAACCTCTGTTACGGCAGGAGCTCGGGCTCTGAATGGAAGGGATTTGGCTGCTGCTTTCTACAGTGGGCTCTTGCTCTTTTTAGATGTCACCAAATCATCCACGAAAACAGCAGTGGACTGGCAAGACCATGACATTTCTGCTATAGAACTGAGGAACTAGTGCCAGCGAAAGCTGCACCAGGGGCTTCAGCGAAAGCTGCACCAGGGGCTTCTCCAGGATCTGGACAGTGTAAAGGCAGAAGTCTCCTGGGCTGCGGTGCACACCTAGGCCATCTGACTTGGCTTAAGGGTGACATGGAGAGCTTGCTGCTGGCACTCACTGTCTTCACAGCGGACTCCTGTATAACCGGCTTCACAGATGCACTGCCCCGTCACCGCATCGCAGCTCCCATCGCTGCTGCTGCAGTTGCAAACGTTGGCACAGTCCAGGCCCCAGCGACCTGGGTCACAGGCTGAAAGAGAGGAGAGAACACAGCCTTCCGCCGTGCTTTGCTTCCCAGGTGAGCAAAGCTATGGGAACAGCTCGTCTGTCTCCTAGGGGCATTATTTCCACTGATTAAAAACGGCTCAAGCAGGAGAAACATGGCTATAGGTTCCCAGGAAATGCAGTGGGGACAGCGAGAGCTTCTGCTCCTTAGCACACTTCCAATGTGAATTTATTCTSCAAGGAAAGAACACTGAACTGGAAGAGCCTGGCAAGACAGAGCAGAGAAGCTTGAAAGATTCTGYGGAGAGAGTTTTGCAGCAGAGGCAGAGCATGGAGATGTGCACCGGCGCACAGGAGACCGAGGGTACGTTACCTCTCCGGCAGTTAAAGCCCGTCCAGCCGGGCGCACAGCTGCACTTCCCCGTTGCTGGATGGCAGTGCCCCTCRTTCCCACAGCTGCATCTCAGCTGGCAGTCGGGGCCAAACCAGCCCGGCGGACACGCTGCCAAGGCAGAGCAAGGGCTGCAGCTGGGCTGGGCTGCATGTCAGTCCCRACTAACCCCGCGTGTGCCCACATGGCTCCCTAGGGCAGCCGTGGGCACAGAAGCTCCTTGCTGGAGCATCCCTGCTCACTCCGGGCAGAACCAGCACGGACACTTATGGATTCATGTCCCTTGCTTTGTATGGGAATGGTTCCCATATGGACACAGGCTGGAAGGACTCCAGGGGACGCAGTGCAGGGTTCACCCTGCTGACAAGGCAGTGGCTGGGGAGCCCCAGCACYGCCCCACGCTAACCCGAGCGCACCGCACCAGCACTCACCATCCTGGCAGCGGGGCCCGGTGAAGCCCGGCGGGCACACGCACCTCCCCGTGGCCGCGTCGCAGCTGCCGTTGTTGGCACACGCAGCACACACCTCCTGGCAGCCCAGTCCCCAGCGACCTTGAGGGCAAGCTGCAGCACGGGCACAGACAGCACGGGCTGCTCAGCACTCGTGTCCCGGGAGCGCCGAGCAGAGCGAAAGCCGCCGAGCTGGAGAGCCCGCAGTGCCAGAGTGGCCTTCGTCCCCGAGCAGCAGCTCGGGCCGTGGCACGGGCCACAGCAGGGCGAGCTCGCCAGGCTGGTGCTGCTGGGGCCACCGCTGGACTCTACACAGGAGCCCCCCCAGCTCCCGTGGGGCTGGCATGTCCCCAGTGCAGACCCCAGGCCAGGCCAGCCCAGGGCTTGCTGCTGCTGACAGAAGGAAGGGCTATACAGCTCTCCAACACCTCCAGCATCCTAAAATTTGCATCTCTCACCCGCCAGTGCAAAATACACATCTATACAGAAAGATTCCTTGCTAAGGACAGCAACTGAAAATATGTCCTTTTATTCATTGCACATGTTGTTACTATATATAGGTATAGGCACTCAGCATCAACAACAGAGCTAAGGGAGCTGGTGCTTCTGTTTAAGACTTACGATCTAAAGTTGCACTTTTTTTCCCCAGATTTCCATGAAGATGACTCCAACTGCACTAGATGCTTTTAAAAATGACTAAAAGTGATGCCTAGCTGCTTGGCCTCAGCCAATCTGTCCCCACTGTTTTCTCACCTTTTCCACAGTCATGTCCAGTCCAGCCGGGCAAGCAGGTGCACTGGCCCGTGACGCGGTCGCAGGGAGATGTCCCACATGAACAGGACAGCAGGCAGTCAGCTCCAAACTTTCCCTCCGGGCACTCTGCAGGTGGAAGAGCACTGAGGGTTACAAGACACATCTTCTGAGAGACTGTGCACAGGCGATTGCTGGTCAGATCCTGAGTCAAAAGAAGAAACCTTCAATTCGGGGAGGAAGTTACAGTTATTAAAGGTTTCTGTGTTGCAGAGAAAGATTGTGCTAATGGGCCTGGATGTGACCACTCTATTACCTACACCAGTCTCCACGTTCCCTGCAGCGAAGGCTCTTGGGCTTCCATATGCCTGTATTTATTTTCTGTGTGAAATCATCTTGTCCTTCCAAACGCAGCCCCCGGGCATTGCCCAGCCTCTGGTGCCAGGGCAGCCTCCAACCCAGCCACTTCTCCTTCTCTCTGCTCCCAGGGCCAGGACAACAGTGCTGGTGTGAGAGAGCTCAGCTCACTTTTTGTGCCCAGTGACCCAGCTTAGCAGCCAGTTAGTGACATGCAGACTGAGGGCCTCCGACCCAGACAGCCCCAGCTCCCATTTGCATGTCTCAGAAGAGCTTACCCTTCTGTTTTGTTCACAAAAGCCAATGTTTCATAAGGCTTTGGCAGATATAAACACGTCAGCTTTCAGAAATAAYGAAGGAAAAGTGTACCAGCTTGTAGACTTAAAATGACACAGTGGAGATTTTTGTTATTCCTGCTCTTTGCTAATTGATGGCAGATGTTCATCTTCACCCTTTAATAATTTCCAGATCTGAACAACAGCCAAAAGCCTACTATTTCAATACAAATATTTGTGTCATTTCCTGTGACTCTCCCTGACAGGATTAASCTCCTCTCTTATTCCTTACAAAAGTGTCCCGCCTGAAAGCGCCCGGCTCCCCGAGCGGCTCGGCGGCCCTGGGCACCGCACGTGCTGCCACGTGGAGAGTGGGAGGCCAGAGGTGGCCTTGGGAAAGACCCCTGCCTCCCGGCTGCCGGGRGCTCCCTCGGGAAGCACGAGCCTTGCACAGGCTGGCTGCATCRCCTGCTGCAATTATTGCCTCCTTTTAGCACTTGCTTAATAGTTGCACTCGGGAGAAGGAGCCACTGCTGCAGCATCGATGGACTGGACGTGTGGACGGCGGGACAGGTTGCAGCCCTCCCTGCAGCTCCAGCCCCGGCGGCACCCAGAGGCTCTGCCGCTGTCCCCCGGGCAGGACAGACACGGGCGGGGGACCCTGCAGGGAGAGGGAAGCAGGATGCTCTTCACCCTTCTCAATATGACGCCGCCAGCTTTGGTCTTTCCTCCGGGGAGCATCTCAGCACACAAGCTGGGACCCAGGAACGCACTGCTGGCCCAGCAGGGAAATATGGGAACTGCAGAGACATGGGAATTGCCATCCACCTCCACAGCGGACGTGGAGAACAGAACCAGGCACCGAGATGCCGGGTGGTGCTGAAAGCCCTAACTGTAAATGAAATGCAACCTTTTCTTTCCACTTGCAGATCAAATAGAACTTTAACATGGAATAGAGAACATGGGGAAATATGATACCATTCTGCCTGGAAGACATCAAAGGGGGAAAACATAACTAGACCTACCCTCATCTGCAAAAGGAACGATGCCCTAGTGGCAGGACAAAGCACGGCCTTGTTCTCCCTCTCTGCATACAGATCATTCTGCACCACAATTCCTGTTTCCCACTTGTAAGGGATTGTTGTGTTTTGACAGAGACCCGTCAAGGGCAATTCTTTTATTATCTAAAGCCATTTCAACGCTCTGCTCATTAGACCACGTGTGGCTGGCTAGGAGGTCTGAAGGAGCGTTAAAAAGGAATTTGGGGAGTTCTTCCATGTTGTTTAGCTAAGAAGGAGTCTGTATGTGTGAGGCCAAGTGAGCTTACCCTGACTTCTCAGGAGCGTGCAGGCTGCTGAGGTGGAAAGCTAAATAAAACAAAGTACTCAAGAAAGAGGTTTGAGTGATTTGGACAGGAGCAGAGAAGGTCCATGCAATCCAAAAACCTTCACAGAAGARGGGATGAATAAATGGGAGCTTGGCCTTGGCCAGCTGACACAGGCAGCGTGTCAGGACAGAGCACCCGCTTCCTCACTGTGCGGCACGGAGCCCTGTCAGACAGAGCCCAGGCGCACGCAGCTCCCTCCATCCTTGCACCAGGAGGAGCTCCTCCAGCGCAGCGGTGGGAGGGCGCGATCAGCAGAACTCGGACGAGGTCCTGGGGGATAGATGGGGAGACCATCACCCAAGTGACTGCAGTGACCCTGCTCCTCACACGGTCTTACCTTGATCACAGTTCTCCCCGTGGTAACCTCGGGGACACTCTTCCCAGCACTTTCCAGTAACATGGTCACAGGACGCTTGCAGAGGGCAGCTGCATTTCTTCTTGCAGCCATCCCCATAGTAGCCAGGGTCACATTCTGTTAACAACCAGGATTTAAGAGAGAAGAGATTCGCTATTACTAGACTGGAAGAGCAGGCAGCACAACGTGGATGTCAGAGCCATGGACATGGACCAGCTCACATTGAGCCAACAACTGGACACAGCAGGCTGGACACAGTCACCCTGTATCTCTACAGGCCCTTGCACCCAGCTATGCAGGTTCTGGCATGTTAGCTTATCTCTAAGTCTGATAAACAGCTTCATTCCTAATCTAAAGGACAAAAGGGAAGACATTCTTAGTGGGATGGAAACAAGGCATTTCTTCTCCAAGGACAATTAGGGAAAAGAGGCCGTGGGAGGAGAAGGGGAGATGCTTCATCAATTCTGCTCAACAACTTACTTGTCTCGCACCACTTGCCACGGTAGCCAGGTTTGCACGTGCAGGAACCGTCCTTCTTGTCACAGTCCTGCGTGTTCTGCTGCACGCAGCGGCATTCTTCAGAGCAGCCAGGGCCAAACACCCACTTTGGGCAAGCTAGATGCCGAGGAAAAGAACCAGTAAGTGACATTAGAGGTCAAATCATACAACACGAGGAATGACACCATTTCCATCTGGCACTGATCCTTCCCAGGGACAGGATTTTCACAGATCATAATCTGAGAGCAAAGTGCAGAGTGTGAAAAGAGTGAGGACAAGCTCACCTAAATGGCAGTACCGTCCGTACAAGCCAGGATCACACAAGCAGGCTCCATAAATTCGATGGCACCGACCTCTGTTGGCACAGTTGCATTTTTTCCTGCATTGTTTTCCATAAAATCCTTTAGGACAGCCTATCAATAAAACAAGAGAGAATCTGGGAAGGTGAGCCAATTTAGATACATCGTTTTATTTTCTGGGGCACACAGAAAATAATATACAAAAATCAAAGCTGTATTTTGCTACAAACAAACCTAGGCAAAAGATGCAGTGAGCTTTGAAAAGAAAGTTGGGTTGATTTTTGACCAAGAATGGGTTTATACAGTTGAAAACAGAAGAAAACAGTGAGGAAGCAGTGCTCAGAGCTTCAGCAGTAGTCAGCACATGGGGAGCAAGGTTCTCGGTGAAGCCACACGGGTAGGCAGGAGCTCTGTGTAACAAACCCTGCCACATCCTTCCTCCAACCATACTCGGTGTAACCCAGAGCACCCATAAGCACCGCACGTCACTTGGAATGATAAAGCCAGTTGTGCTAGAAAGCTATCTCACGGGGCTCCAAGAAGTCTAGRCTTTTCCAATGTGAGAAAATGAGCCATAAAGCCACCCCTATTGACAAATAACTTGATATTTGCACCATTAAAGGAATACAAGTATTCTTTCTCTTTTATGCTAAAGATCTCAATATCAGAAGCACATGCCAAACATACTGTGTCAGCAGAATGCCCAGGCAGCATCCTTCCAGGCAGCACGAGGCTTCTCCCGTGTGGAACCAACACTAGACAGCTTAAGGATGGGAAATGCCACCCTGGGACAACACATCCGTTCACCATTGTTTCTTTTAATCTCACCTTCCTGTTCTTTCTCCGTACCCCTCAATCGCCTCCTCCTTAGAGAAAGAAAAGGTCTGGGTATCTCTTGAATTCATTTATATTCTGCTTCAGTCTTCTCCTTCAGTAATAGATTCCATATGCTCTTAACCATTTGTCTGAAGTCGTTTTGTCTGAATTTCTCATTGTACCACTATTTCTGTTTTTAGACTATGTTCCCAACATTTTACCTCTTTGGAAGAGAGAAATAAATACTTACCAACAGCAAAAGATACCTTTTTTTTTTTTTTTTTTTTTTTTTTTTGCAGCATTTTGGATAACTACTATTACTGCAACCTGAGAGTCCTTTCTTTTTCCTTTAACAGGAAACAGCTCCTCAGTTCTTCAAATTCAGTACAGAACATGTACTTTGGACACTCCTTTCTTGGTCCTTCACTGAATGTTCAGTGAAACATAGTTGACTGCCCATGAACAGAGTGCAGCCTTACTGACTAGTTAAACAAGGACTGCAAAGAACTTCCAGCGCAAACATAGGGCATATTACCTGGAAACACAATTTCATCTTCTTCTCATTAAAACATATCTGTTTTTATGCAAGATTATGTGACAGACTAGTCAGATAGAACAATCATATGTTATTTCACTCAGACTTAGAAATGAGCTAAGACTTTAGAGATACTTTCAGGAAGCAGCGACAACCCAACAAGGTAGGACATCCTGCGGGAAACAACTTGACCCTTCAGAGCGCAACTGGGATTATCAAGCAGTGGCATTGGGGTTGGCTATAATATCCATTCAGCAAATGAGGGCAAATGTTCCACTAACATGTTAAGACAAAGAGTTGACTCCTCAGCCCATGAAATCTCACTCCTCGTTAGCACTAAGGAGTATCGATGCCCGGTTAAAGGAGAGCAAGTGTGTCCCTTCTCTCCCGAGTGAACAAGAGAAGTGCATGAAGGCCCTCCATGTGTTTGGTTTCAGGGCCCTGCGGATGTGACTTTCTGCATTTTTGCACCCCTGCACCTCCCCCTTGACTTGAAAAAGGCCGAGGTGAGAAAAAGGGGGATCTCAGCACTGCATGAAGCAGGTGCTGAAAGCCGCTGCTCTTACCATCTTCACAGAGGTCTCCCGTGACGCCGGGCGGGCAGCGGCACGTGCCCGTCACGGGATCACACGTGCCTCCGTTCCTGCAGTGACAGCTGAGGCTGCAGTTCCTCCCGAACGTGCCCTCGGGGCAGGCTGTGATGGAGAAACAGRCAGACGTCAGCAGGCTGCCCCAGCCCTGGCCAAGGGCACTGCTGTTGCCTCCCGGGCTTAGAGGCTGCCCACTGCAGAGCGACTGTCCAGCGTACCCCAAAGGAGGTGCAAGAACAGAGCGCAGTTTTTGAATGTGAGATGACATTYGTTTTTTTTACAGTAAGCATTTTGCCTTATTTGGACAAAAGAGCAAAGACATTGAGTGAGGAAGCCAGATTTCCATAGCTTCAATTCCTTACTAAGATTGTAGATAGCAACTTAATAGCAGACTTTATTTGGGTCACTAGAAAAGCCACTGAATTCTTTCTTAAGCACAAGGCTAAAGGGAAAAGTATTCTTCTACTTAAAGCAAAAATTTAGCCGGGAGGAGGAATTACAAGGATTCTCATTAGTATCCTGAGTATTTTCTTAGTCTCAAAGAATGCAACATGTCTAATACACTGTCGTTAGGTTTAGACCCAGTCTGTGTGCTACCCTGAGATTCAACGCCAGACACATGTTTTAGGTTTGAACAGTAGACTAAAATACCTTGGGATCTATTTGGGAATGAGAMAGGGAACTCTCCTCAGGATTTTGTCTGGTGACTAAAGCCAGGTAAACGTGGCAAATAAAGGCAACTGAGCTGACGAGGAAGGTAAGGGGCGTTAGTGCTACTTTCGGCCAGCTGAGGTTTTGCGTACCCTTCCCTCTCCTCTCTTTTGACTGACTTCTGGGAAGAAGAGCCGACGGCCAGCAACCCGCCAGCCCCGCTCCTCCTGCCTCCCGCCAGGGGCACTCACTCTGGTTACATATGACGCCGCTCCAGCCTTCCGGGCAATCGCAGCCGCTCCGCTCCTCGTTGCACGTGCCCCCGTTCCTGCAGTCCTCACAGCTCAGGCTGCAGTCGTGGCCAAACGTGTGCTCCAGGCAGACTGCAACGAGAGAAGCGGACGACAGGCAGCCTTCCCAGGGCTGCTCCAGCAGCATCCGCAGTTTGGGCAGGGAAAGCCCCAAGCTCAGGCTGCAGCAAAGGTGAAAGCATCTGTGTTATAACACAGGCCCTGTGTGCACGGAAAAGGTACCTGACAAACGTTTCACCGTGTGTTCGTCACACTCCAACATGTATGATTAATTCTAAAGACTTCAGGACTTTAAAGTATGCCATTTATGCCATCTAGCACAGCTGAAAAAYGCCTACCAAATTTTTCTGAAAGCGTGTGCTCTCCTCTTGCTTCCATCTCTTCCTCCTCCTCTTCATAATCCTCATTAAWGAGCTGGGTAAATTCATCTCTCAGGATTGCAACATGAGGGACTGGGCGGATATTGGGATGCTGACCATCTAGAGCTTCCACAGGGACATCTAGAGCTAGGAGGGCAGTCATGCAGAATACAATGTGAAAAGCAGAAASGTGAGCTGAGATCATCTAAGAGACGAATAGAGAAACTCTGTCATGAGAGAGGAAAACCAGAAACGATATCTCTATAGGGTTGGCAGATTGGAATGATTTGGAATGGATCGCTCCAATGACCCCTCTCTCTGTACCCCTKGATGTTGCAAAAAGGATGATATGCTCCTTTCTGTCATGCAGACTTTGGCCACTGGTCTGCTTGTTTTGACTYGAAGGAGGTAGGGACCAGCCAAATGACTTAAAAGTTGTCTGAGTCTTGGGTCTTAATCTTGACCAATGCATCTGACCTGACAATGCGTGTGACTGGCTCTGCAGTTTTTCAGATCAGCGCCTTGAGATTTCAGAAGTATTTTTTCTTGAAAATTAAATCAGAATGTCCATCCAACCAAGTTAGGCAATTCATTCTGGGTGGATTTTCCTTTGGAAAGAGCTTTTATCAGCTCCAAAGCATGAAGGTGGAGCAGGTTTCCTTCCTTTGCAGGGCAGGAAGGAGTTAAGTCCCCAGTCAAGCTCAGCGCAAACACACTTGGGAAGCACAAGCAGCTCCCAGGGCTATAAAAGCCAGCAGGCCAGGCAGGAGTCAGGCATTTTGCCAAGTGAGAGGGGTATAAAGTGCTGCTCCTTTGGTTCTTTCCAAAAAACGGGAAACCTTGAAAATGCTGCTGTGTCTGGGGTCGTTAGAGGAAGAGAGCTGGCAACCCTACTGAGTGAGCTGGAAAACAGTGTGCATGGCGGTGGGATAGAGGGTCCTGCTAAAGAGAAAATGTTGCTTCTTAGTAAGAAAAGCTGTAAAGGCTACTGGCTGTGGAAAATGTTCTCATTCTTTGGCTAATTTGGAGATATCATTGCTCAGTGTAGGCTTTTAATTGCTGATGTGCCAGAATCCCCAYGGTCTCTTTGAAAAGCTCTGTGAAGTATCACTGGAAGAGGAATGTTCCTGTTGGAGGAAAGCTTTCCGCTGGTGGTGATCATTTCAGCTACTCATGCTAACAAGTGCTGTGAGGAGATGTAAAAGGTTCTGTGTAGTCTGAGGGGTCCAGCTGAATTTATTTGGTTCTGACTCTCTATGGGTTTTCTTGGATTCTGTGCAGTGAGGTGTTTCTAAGGGAAGAAGGGGGAAGAGAAAAGCATGCAGGCAACCTAATGGTTTACCTATGCARTAACACAAGCTCCACTTACAAATGCAGCTTCTTTGGTCTTCATCCAGCTTGTATCCAGTCTGGCAGCTGCACTGGAAAGAGCCTATCTCGTTCTGACACGTGTGTTCGCATCCACCATTGTTTGAAGAACACTCATCTATATCTAAAAAACACAATATTGCTGTGTAATGGAAGAATATCCCCTGCACAAGGCAGACACCTCCAGTGTGTGTAAACCTACAGATGAGTAAAGACTTGGGTTAGAAATARTAAGAGTTTGTCCCTCTTGCAGTGCTGCAATGCCGAGGACTGCAGTATTCCCACTTTAGTCCGATATTCCTGCTTACCGTCGCACGCACAGCCATCTGTGTTGAGCCTGTATCCAGCATGGCAAGCACACTCGTAGCCTCCAGGATAATTGTAACACTCCTGCTGACAACAGAAGTGAGTGCCACTCTCACATTCATTGATATCTAAATAAAAGACAAAGGTATTAATACACACCTAGCTTTGCAGTGGGGACCACATTTGTTAAACTTGCCTTGTAAGTAGCTCTGAGTTCTTCCTATTCTCTTTCAAACACAGTCTGCAAGGCAGTAATCACAAATTTGAGATTTTGTGGCCAAATAGTCCTTGTAAGCTAAGGAAGGGAAAAGCATTGAAGAAAAGCTTATAAATGGACAATTCACCTTCCTTACTCAGCTAATGCTCTTCTGCAGGTCTGTTGGGAATGCTCTGACAGTGGATATATGTAATCCAGCAAAAGCAGAGTGCTTAAGTTCTGAGCCCTGAGCCCTTTCTTTGAGACTCAGTGTGCTTACCATTAAGCTGACTTGTCACAGTGCCCATATATTAGAAGGCCTTGTAAAACAGCCTGCTGTCACCCCCCAAAATGCCCTTAGGCCTCTGCCAGGGACATGCAGAGCAGCACTATAGAGCTACAGGGRATTTGCTCTGCTTGCAGACACTCTCGCTCTCGTGCTGTAACGGGCTGTGGAGGCAGCTGCTCCTGCTTACCCAGAGCCAGTGAGGAAGGCAAACTCGGATGGTTTTCACTTTCCTCCCATTTTACAGAGCAAATGGCCCCATGTTCTGCCTGAGCACTGCAACTTGATAGTGTTTGCAGAGTCTGAGGTGTTTCACTGTGATGCTCACCCCTCATACATAACCAGATGGGGCTGAATTACACCATGCTTGCAGCTAGTGACTCATCCACATCACTCATTCACTCCAATTACTCCACTGCTCCCTTTGAGACAACAGGCAAGACGGTGCATCTTGGGCACCATCCCTTCAATGGGGATGCCAATGCTTTAGCTCAGTTCTAGCAGGAAAAACTGATTAACTCTGTGATTGACATTACCTGTCCAAGTAGGCTGTGAGCAGGGGCTTGAAGCCCATCCAAAGTAGCACAGTCTCATAGGTCCTTCTACCTTACAGCTGTGACCTGGCCTTGTTAACCTGCACATGGTGTGTGTATATGTACAGAGCAGCTAGCATATGCACTTGCCAGAACATGTCTTCTGGTCCTCTTCAAGCTGGTAGCCAAAGTTGCAGGCGCAGGCTGGGCCGGAGCTGCTGTGACGGCAGGTGTGGGAGCAGCCGCCGTTATTGACCTCACAGCTGTTGACGATCTCCATCGCTATCCCTGGAAAAGACACGCTGGTCGGGGTGGGATGTGGGCGCTGCAGTGCCCGTGGGCCTGGGCTGGACCTGCCTCCCCCCAGCAGCGCCCGGCTGAGCTCCTCGCCCGTGCGGGCAGCCCTGCTGAGCGAGAAATGATCTGCAGTGGGGAAAGGATGAAAAGAGCTTTGAGGAGGCCCCAGCTGCGCTACGAAGCGATGTATACAGATAAATGGGTGCATCGCAGGCAACACCGCACGCAGCCTTCAAGGGGCAGGCTCTGGATGATTTGGGATGCAGCAGGCAGCCACAGCTGCTTCCCTTGCTCCTGCGGATCCCTGCCGAGCCGCGGTGCAGGAGCTGGCCTGGCCTTCCCTGGCGCGGAGCTGTGCGGGTGCCAGCCAGAGCTGGGAGCCGCAGGAACGCGCGGGCGCCTCAGGCTAGCAGAGCCAGTTACTGACACGTCAAATGGTYGATGCAAACATCAGCAGCAGTTGTATCTTCTTAGTTTGGCAAAGGTTCTGTAAACTTTGCTTAATTAAGCTTCCTTAAACCAAAAGGAACTTGTTCCATGGAGCTTTGACGCAAGTCTGAAACTCAGAAAAACTGCTGCAAGAGCTTTTTGGGGTTTTTTTGGGACCTCCAAACCCAAAGAGAGAAGGGAGGAGCTTGGTGCTCCTAAACGTGTCTCCACAGGCCAGAAACAAAAGTTGTGTCACTATGGAAAGTGATCTTCAAGGCTTCACAATATGAATATATCCCCTCTTTCCCCTCACTTATTAGTGCAAGATCAGCCAGTGTTTGCATTAAAAAAAAAGCTGCTAAAAGAGGAGTGGGAGAATGCTATAAGGAAAGACTAATTCTAATGTTGGCAGTGAGGCAGAGCTGCTGCCTGTGGTTACGGCAATGAGTCACGATCTGTTCCCTTCTGGAGGAGCTGTTGGAACCGGAGGCAGGCTGGTGCTTCCACCCTCCCTGCTCTCTCCAGGGCTAGCATCTCCTGCCCTGGCAAGCCTGGAAAAACAAGACCTGGGTGGCAATAAAACTACTGAGCTTTTAGTTACTTGCAGGCCAGTTAGCTAAAGGGATTTTTTTTCCTGCTGGGATAGTCGCAGTGCTATTTGAGGAGGCAGCTAGGAAGATTTCCTAGGAAGTTGGCTCTCTCATGTAACATCCTGCAGGCCCATGTGGCTTTCTTGCATCTCCATCCAATGACTGAGAGGACATGTGTTCATGGAAGTGCTAAGCTGTGGGATTTCTCAGAAAGCTACAGTGTGAAATAAACCCTGCTGCTAGGAAGCAAGGTGTGYGCAATGCTTAGGCTCTTAAACAGCATGTCCACATTACTCATTTTGGTGCTTTTTTATGGCCAGTGTGCTGTCTGTGGAGCTTTGCTCTCCTCCTCCTCCACAAAGCAGCATGCTCCTGCCACGCTCCCAGGGAGAGCTGCAGGGCAGGGAACTCACTGCTTGCACTGCTGCTAATTACTAAACCGGGAGTGCCGAGGTGAGGTGGCTCTCATCTCAGGAATGATGCTAGTGGTAAGTGCTGACAGCTTCCCTTTGGACTATCCCTGCTGCTGTATGTTAGCTGAACAAAGATTGTGTGGAGGATCTGGTTAATAAACCAGATGTCAGACTGTTTATTTCTTTTCCTGATGGGAATAGATGTGATTGCACCATTAGTTCAACTCCTTCAGTTACAGATCTGCAGCTGATTAAATTCGTCCAAAGAAGTCCCCAAGAGCAGAACTTGGCCTACTGCTTTCAAATGTTTCCAAGTAACTTGCTCTAAGCACTGAAAGAAGCTTCATGGTATCTTTTAATATCAGACAAAAGAGTGGTTTTTTAAATCCTTGCTATGAGAACCAACATCTCTAACCCTGCCTGGGAAATGACCCATAAAGACTGTGCAACTCTACTGCAACAATCCATAGAAGATAGTGCCACAGAATCCACGTGCAAGCGGCACAGCTCCCTCAACCGTCTGCTTTCCTTCCTTAGGACACAGAGACAAAAGCAGGTCCTTGCCAGCCCGAGCAGCTCAGCAGGCAGTACTCACGGTAGCATTGCTTGCCGTCTGCGCCCAGCTCGTAGCCTGGCTTGCAGGTGCACTGAAAGGAGCCACRAGTGTTGAGACACTGATGTGCGCACATGGCTACTCCCGTCAGGCACTCATTCACATCTGAAAGAAATAGAAAGTTAGTAAGAATACGAGCAGGCTGTGCTGCAAGCTCTTCCAAAGCAGCAGTTGTTACTACAGATCAATCTTTCCACCAGATTCTTGCATCCTAACTTTTCTGGACTGTACTTGCTATGAAACAGGATCTAGAAGAAATGATCACATGAAGCTGCAAGTTTGTTGTACATAAGCAGGGCTCTTGGACAGATTTCAGTGAATCAAACAAATGTTTTCATGCTACCTTTCTAGTAAGACTTAGGCATCATTCTACTGAATTTATAAATTCTTGTATTTACTAAAGTAGAGCGTTATTTTGCAGAAGGAGAAACAGCTGCTTTGTTGTATGGGAATGGGTGCTTTGCTGTAGGGAATGTACCTTCACAGGCCCTGTTGTCGGCTGCCAGCCTGTAGCCAGGGTGGCACTCGCAGAGCGCGGCCCCGCGATGACTGCGGCACCGGTGCATGCAGCCTCCRTTCCTCTCGGCACACGGGTTCCTCGCTAGAGAACAAGCAGAAGAAGCAGTCTTATTTCATGCTATTCTTATCTCATTGGCATTTTACTTGCAGCAGAACAAGCATCAAGCCATCATGGAAAGCTAAAGCATTGCAATCTGTTCTCCAGGATGATGTAACTGCTACTATTCTCCGTTCCAAGCAGCTTAGGTGKTAGCCTCGAATGTCAAACTTGGTGAATCTTGAGCTCTTAGGAAGGACTTTATGGTGCTGGCAGAGGAGAGGGGTGTGGAGGGGCAGAAATCCCACAGAGTTCAGGGCTGGTCACTGCACTGCTACTCCCTCAGATTCCTACATGGAATAACCCTCCAGCAAAGGGAGCACTGGAAAAGACAGAGCGTGGCAATATCCTATGGCAGACAGTGAAACTATTGCTTATACTGTGGGGCTGAGCAATGGCTGTAAAAATGCATGAATTATCCTTTATAAAGAAAAACAAAACCGATCTGGKCCTGACCCTCTAAAGAGATTTCGAAGCGAGTACCGGGCAGATTCATCTCAAGTGCTTCTGTTGAGGTGTCTGCCAATCTCTGACTTGCTCCAGGACAGAGAGATGCTACAAAAGTATCCTGATTTTTAATATCCTAGATGTTCTTTTTTTTTGTCCTTAGCAACTTCACAGCAAAAGACTTCCCTYCTTGCTCCTCTTGAATGCCAGCTGCTGTGAATGAAAAGATTAAACTTGTGCTCTTGCAGCTTCTCCCCGTGCTGCAGCACAAGCAGGTCAGCCAGAAAGCTGTCTGCAAGCAGAGAGAGAGGCTCCTCTTGCACTGAGACATGCTGCTCTTCCTGCACTTTCTCAGAAGTGTTTGCCCTGATGATAACTTCATTTTTGTTGGCTGGGCTCCCTCTGCTCTTCCGTGGCTTTCAAAATAATCAGCAGAACACAATTCYGACATTAAGACATGCAGAATTGGCGCTAGTTTTTATGAGAGAAGACGACCCTGGTCTGCTTGGCTTGTCACCTGAGCATGCAAACACAGAGCACACAGAGCACTAACTAAGACCAAATTCTTCTTAYTATAATTCGTACAATATTACAAGAATATATATATATAGCTATTAAAAGAAGCGCGCCGCGCAGCACTCACGGGCGCAGCGCGCGCCGTCCGCCCGCAGCTGGTAGCCGTGCCGGCACTGGCACCGGTGCTGCGCCAGGGTCACCTGCACGCAGTCGTGCTCGCAGCCCCCGTTGTTCACGGCACAAGTGTTCAGGGCTACGAGGCAAGGACAAAGCGCTCATCAGGGCAGGCCTGCGTCAAGCGACGGCGCATTGGCAAAGGCCAGGGCAAATCACACGCGCTCACGCACACTTACAAAGAGAGCCCTGCTAAGAGGAAGCCTGAGAGGGGCCTGCTCGGCCCGCGCTAACGAGGGACGTTAGTTCACGGCATGCTGAAGGAAAGTGAGCTGCTACTGCACGGATCAGTTCTGTGCGCCGTGCACAAAACAGGCTGCCTTGCCCCGAGCGACAAAACCGCCTTGGGCATCGCTGAGAGCGGCAGGCTTTGGAAACGAGACCTGGGCACTGGTGCCAGGGGGGAGCTCGCCGAGCCCGGCAGCTCCCGCGGACGAGGGACAGGACAGCCGCGATGGGGCCGCACGACCCAGCGGCCGCTCCAGGAACAGCCCGGCAGGCTGCTAGCAGGGGCACGTTGGTGCCACCCGTATCGACCCTTCCCAGCCGGGGCCAAGGGCAGCGGCAGGCTCCCTCGCTCCCTCGCGGCTTGGTTTTGCAGAGCCGCTCGGGATTTTGTTGCGGGATCCGTGGTTGCAGGGGCCCTGGCTCGGCCAGGTGAGCTGTGCCGGGCTCCTGCACGCCACGGTGAACTCGCGCTTCCCTGCACGCACGGAAGGAGGTTTCTGGCMGCGGGAGGTGCAACAACACCGGCACTGTGCAGACCAAGGCCAACAGGCACCACCGCTTCTCGGGCTACGGAAGGACACGTGTGTCGAGCCGCTCTCTGCCTCCCCGCACACGGGTCTGGCAGAACAACCCCGTCTCAATGGAGATGAAATGGAAGCAGCTTGTGGGTCACCACAAGAGGGTGAATTTGTAGCTGTGGGAATGCCAGGGTCTTGCAGAACATCTTGTTTCCTCTTGTGCATTTTTTTAATCTCCCCAAAGCACAGTATTTTGTTGGCAAACTTTCTTTTAAAGACTAATAACCCCATGTGAGCCTCATAATGCTGCAACTGCACATGACTGAGGCACTCGTGTTCTCTTTGTCTCTACCATAGCGGGACTGTTCCCTAGTACCAGCAGTAATAGGAACCAGAAATCCTTCTCTGCCAAGAAATCTGTGTAGGGAAAATGCAGCTGGCACCACCATGGCACAGGCCTTGGCACGTTTGTGGCACACGCACCAGGAAAGGAGCAAAGCAATAGCAGCCTGCAGCATCAGTGTACAGCCACCCAGGATAGGTTTTACTAAGATACGGTCTAATTCACTTTAAGAATCAGAAATAATAAGACAAACTCCAAAAAAAGCCTTACATGAAAATTGCTTTGGGTGTCTTTCCATGCAAGAAAAGGCCTTCTAATTCTGTATCTCCTTAGTTGGCTTCTCCAGAGCAAGAGCCAGTAGACCTCATTGCTGGCCTTGTTTTAATTAAGGCTCCTTTTTTTTTCTTTTTCTTTTTTTTTTTTTTTTTTTTTTTTGTTTACAGAACCTCTCTAAAAATATTTCCATTCCCAGATGCTTTTTCTAGCTTAACATTTCTGCGACATTGCCAAGGCCAGCGTCATCCTGCACATCACATGGACTTTGGTAATTAAAGTTCAGACAGACTTTCCACAGATGATATTTCATCGTCTGCAAGACAGCCGTTACTCGCAGCCCCTCCGCGCCTGCGGGGAACGCGGTGCCGCTGGAAGATGCTAGATCTTCCAGCAACCAGAATTCAGCAGGAAATTCACAGGGCTTCAYGGAAAACCATTGGTTCTAAGGGCAGTCTACAAGCAACAGGGACAAAGAAATGGTCAAATTCTCTAAAATGTCRAAGTTGGCTGTGTAACACATGCAAATGAAAAAAATCTCTCAGTCATGCATCTATACAATTACCCTTCTGAACACGCGGTTCACTTCACAAACCGTCATGGCACAGTCCTGTTCACTRCATGAATCACTGATAAACCTCCAATTCCTTCATTCGAAATGCTCTTAATATAAATCGGGACACACCATGTAATCCCGAAGCGATTTATTCTAACCTCAGACCATTTCCAGAAACATGTTGTGTGGTAATTCCGACCATGCCCGGCTCTGCAGGCCAACGAAAGCAACGGCTCAGATTAAACTCTTTGCTTTGGAGCCGAGTCCGGCCCCGCTCTGAAAGGGTGGAGGAGGCCCTGAAGATGTCAGCCTGCTGACCATGTGTTTCTCATAGAGGGAAAGGTAATCTCAGGACGTCCAAAGATTCTTTTCCTTTTTTTTCCCGTTTCATCTCACTTCCAATAGAAATGTCTGTGGTTTTCCTTTCCCCTTTCTCTTCTGTGTTAAGAGCCATCAGTGACTTGCTCTATTTGCACTGCAAGAACAGACACTATGTGGGAATCCCGCCCAGCTGAGCTGCAGATTACCAAAGCGAGAGCAGTGGTGGAGCCTGTCCGCGGGGTGCAGCACAGGAGCCACGAGGCTGGTTTGGGGCCACTCTGCAGCCTCCTGCCCCTGCGGGCTGGGTGCAAGGCAGCCCCAGCGAGCTCGCGTCCTCTTCAGATGCTTGGCAGTYGTGCCAGGGCATCCTCCTGACAACCTGGCATTTCCACTTGCTGSTGCAACAGCCCCGCAAGGGATGGCAGAGGAATCAAGGCTGCGATTCCACCCGCCTTAAAATCTGAGCTCGCCCTAAGTTTGGTGCCTCCAGAGCTGACAGCCTGCGGGCCTCCCGTGGTGCACTTCTGGAGACCGCATGGGCCTTCGGCAGCACCACTGACTAACTGAAGCCTTAGTGGGTTTTGTGGTGATCGGAAAACATTTAAAGAATTAGATCCTCAGTTTTACAGACCCTAACTAGAAGATCCATGCCAGGAGCCTTTTGCTTTCTCCAGAATGCTTCCTGGCTCTGCATTACTGCCTGCTGAGGCTGCCAACAGCAATAGCTGTTTGTTACCCGGGTGAATATCTGTTATCCGGCTCGAAGCTGCAAAATGCCTCGCTGCCCCGGCTCAGGACACCAACAGCAACGGTCCTTGTTCCTAAGAGCACGGCTATGCTGGAGCAGAAGGGAGTAACAGAGTCTCAATATCCCTATATCTGTATTTCTGATTCAAGTTACTCAGTGCCAGTTTTTTCTTTTCTTAGCCACASTGAATTTTCCCTGTGCAGCAAGGCGGGAGCCATCCCAAACAAGGGAACACACGGTGGCTCTCACTTGCCCTAATCCCACAGAACCACGGAGCTCCTGCCGCTCTGGAATCACAAGCTCTTCCTACGACCGTGAGCAAATGCCCTTCAGCACGAGGCGCCGCAAAAGGCAAAGGCTGCTTCCTTGCAGCAGGAATTGCTGCTCCAGGCAGACCCCTGCCTCGCAGTGGCTCGGTGCTACACGCAGACCTGTTGCTGGCGTAGAGCAAAACCAAGCTCTTTGCAGCTATCAACCGGGGCAATAAGAGGAAGCAACTCATCACCAGGAAGAAGCTCGGTTATTTTGCCCACAAAGATGCTGTCTGTGCAGCCCCAACCAAGCTGCACGCCGCCAAGGAGCTCGCTGGCTGCCGGGAAGGTTTCCCCAAAGCACCTGCTGCGCCTTGTGCGTCCCCAGCCCTTCTGCTTGGGCTCCGGCCTGGCGCTCACCCATGGGAGCAGCCCTGCTTCTCGCCAGCCTTGCGGCGGGCAGGACTCCGGAGCCACCACTCGAATGCACGAGCTGAGGGTGCTGCCCACGGGAGGCGCTGGGGACTGGCCCGGCGGCCACGCGCCCTGGGCGCCCCTTGCTCGCTGGCCTGGTGCCCTCGGCAAGAACCACAGCTTAATAAAAACCGTGTGATCGCAAAGACCAAGTCGGAGCAAAGCCTCTGGCTCCACAGTGTAAATATTTACGTAGCCTGAGCGCTCAAGGAATGAGTCCCTTCCATGTATCTGCACGGAGAAAGTGCACGTCCRAGGCTTGAAAGCAACCCGCAACAACCCGCGGGCCAGCGCGGGCTGGTGCCCGCTCCAGGCCGAGCAGCAAGCGCCCACCAGCACAGAGCAGGGCAGGCCGCCCTCGGGCAGCAGGCTCTGCCCCRCGGCCTCAGCGCTGGGCATGCACCATCCAAGTGGACACATGACTGAAATCTCGGGGAAGAGGTTTCTGAGATTACTGTGGCCATGACTCCACCCGCRGTCACGCTTATTTTCACTTACTTAGCACACTTGATGCCTGTCTTGCAGACACAGCAAATTCGTTCAGGTGAAAACGAACCTTGGCTTATTGGGAAATGCATTAGGGGCATCAATTTTGAAAATACCATATCTGATACATGCTGTAGCCAAAGCAGAAACAGCAACTCCCTGTGAGCTGGAATTTACTTCTCAGCCAGAATAATCTGAGGAACTACAAGGAAGCCCTAATTGTACACTTGCACACTGAAGAAGAGCAAATATTATGGACCTAGGAATAGAAACATGTTCAGAAAGACTACCAGGTTCCCAACAGATGAAGGAACAGGCCCCCATCACTGTCCTCACTGCYTCCCTACCGGGGGCACGTGGGCAGSAAGGCCAAAGAGAGCCGGTCTGGGCGCCGTGCCATGCAGTTGCAGGGCTGGGAAGGATCCCGGATTCCCGGCAAGTCTAGAGCTTGGACTTACGAATGCAGGTCCGGCCATCGGTGTGCAGGCGGAAGCCCAGCTTGCACTCACAGTAATAGGACCCCAGGGTGTTCACACATCGGTGCTGGCAGCCCCCGTTGTGAACCTGGCACTCGTCGATATCTGCAAAAAGAAGGGGAAGAGGGCACGCAAGTCAGAAACGGGCAGGACAGCATCTGAACTCAGCATCATTTACCCTCCTTTGGACGGCTCTGGATCTGGGTATGAATGCAGCAGAAAGGAGTCTACCAGCTTATCATGTTGAATCACTCAAGCTATTAAGAAATTCCATGCACGCAATCAGGAAAAAACCCTGCCTCTTATTTGTCAGCCAGCACAGCACAAGCCCTCCCTCCTTCACTCTCTTTGCAAAGGTCCCGTCGGCTGGACACTGCCTGCCAGAGGTGCTGCCCTGCACGAAGAACCTGCGCTTTGCGTCTGCTCCCGAGCCCGGGCAGGTTTGTGCAGCCTCACAACCTCTCCTGTTCCCGCAGCTTCGACGAAGGACCGTGTGGAAGCGGGCCGAGCTGTGTCTCCAGGTGCAGGCGCACACCGTGGAGGCCTTGSTGCAGGCGCAAGGTGCCACTGCCCACCAGGGCCCGGCCAAGGGCGGGGAGGCCTCGCCACCTAGTGATTAGCCCAGGAATACAAACTGTGCTGGGAGCACGTCTTGGAGGTCACGCAAAGATCACCCGTGGAAGCAGACGTCCTGCTGCGACCGTGACACGCTTTGGCAGCACGGAGACCCAAAAATGCAAGCCACGTTTCAGAAGATGCTGTCGGTGGCACTCAGAAGAGACCAGAGGTGCATGTAACATCAGGCAGCCTGTCTGCTCTTCACTTGGAGAAACTGGGAGAGCTAATGGAGAGCACGGCCACATCAGCTGTGAGCAGCGCTCGAGGCAAACAGCCCGTCTATAAGCAACAACAAAAAAGATTTACCCCTTTCCAAAGGTCTGACACATTTCACAGCTATGCTAGCATCACCTTTGTGATCGACGGCTTGGAGCTTTTATTTGTGAGGATTTTCTTGGGATGAGACTACGTGTCTCTTGATATCTACACCACTCACAAACATCCCAAGTCTCTGGCGGAGCGTGGACTTGACCTGTTGTCCATCATTCCCTGTAGTTTCACACCATCTCAATCTTTGCTGCCTCATCAGTGAGCTGAAGGCCAACAAGCAGCCGGAGCGTGTGGACTCACAGAAACTACAGCTCCCCAGCTGCCACACGCAACAGCCTGGGCATGTAAAAACATTCAGCAAGAGATACTGAAAATTGGCAAAAATATATTTACTATTTCAGTGCACTGCCTTACCCAGTACAGCAGAAAATGCAACTCCCATAGGAAGCCATTAAAAGTAACTTGCTGCTGCCACATGAGCCCGGGGTGTTTTGCTCCTTGCCGGCAGCTAAGGGGCTGGATGCAGCGCAGTGGATCTGCTCCTGCTACCCAGTTCTGAGCTTTCTTCTTCCCATGCTTTAATCTGCGCCCACTCTTAGCAGACACAGAGACCGGCTGCTAACGCCTCTCATATCAACCCGATAAAGGCTGTGCGGCCGCAGCAGCACGTTCTGAGCTTTTGTCATTGCTGAGCATGGAACAACCGTCGCCTCCACCTCTGGGTAGGTCTCTTGGGTTGGCCAAGGCAGAAGAGGCTTGAGATGCAGGTGCCGAGGACGCTAGCGACCCGAGTGCTTTGGTGCACAGTGGYGGTCGGAGCCTGCAGAACGTGGTTCCCTCTCTCTGTGCACATCGCTCCTGGCTGGGTGCTCCTTGCTCCCGGTTCCAGCCTCCTGCCAGAGAATTTCCCTTCTCACCACACGGCATGAGAGCACGGAGCTCTCTACCTCCCGAGGCTCCACTATGCACTGCTCGTGCTACTCGAGGAAACTCAGAAGTCTTTTTTTTTCCCCATGACAGAACAGTATCACCTTTCATTGACCAGCGTGAGACCCGTGAATTCGGGAAAAACAGCAGCTCACCTTACACTAACACAACCCATGCAGCTGCTCCTCGACCGCCCCGGCCCCGGGGCTGCCTCTGCACTGGGCGCAGTCCCACGGCGCCCGGCCCCCGACGGCGCGCACGGAGCGCAGCGCTGCCCCGGGAAGGGCTTTCCGGAGGGACCGCGGCACGTACCTGGGCGCAGGGCGCCGCGCAGCGCCGCGTAGCACGGCGGGCAGCTCCTCCACGCGTAGCGGTAGTGGCTGCCGGCGGCGCCCGGGAGGCCGCCCAGGAAGCCGCAGCAGCAGCAGAGCAGCAGCCAGAGGCGCCCCTGCCCCGGGGCCATGGCCGCGGTGCCGCGGGGGGACGCGGCGGGACCCGCGCAGCCCGCGCAGGGGACGGGAGGCGGCGGCAGCGCCGCGGAGGGGACGGGACGGGACGGGAGGCGCGGGCGGGAGGCGCACGGCGGCTCCGCGCACAGCGGCTCTGTGTCGGGCCGGGCCCAGGAGCCGCCCGTCCCCCCCAGGTAACGGCCAAGCCCAGGAGAGCCCCCCCTTCCCCCCGTCGCCGCGCCCGCCCCCGGGGAGGAGAAAAGGGGGCGGTTAAACGGAGCTGGGGGCGGTTAAACGAGCACCGCACCCGCGGAAGGCGCCTGAGACGCGACTCATCCCCGGGCAGCAAAATCCCCGAGGGCGAAAGAGGAGGGTCCCAAAGAGCCCGAGCGCGGCCCCCGGCCCCGTGGGCAGGGGAGGCTGYGCCTGCCCGCGCCGCCCGTCAGTAACGCGGCTGGCAGCGGCCTCCGCGAGGCCCCGGCGGCCTCCGCAGCTGCGAGGAGCCGCCCGTGCCGCCAGCCCTCCCGCGCCGTCGCGGCGGGGCGCTCCGGGGCCCGCACCGCTCCCCCGGCTCCCGGAGCGGCGCCCCTCGGCGCCAGCGCAGGGGCGAGCGCTCCCGCCAAACGGGAATAACGTGAAGCGTTTGCTTAGAAAAGAATTTCGTAATAGGCAAAAATCAACCTCAAAGCAGGAAGGGCCACTCTGAACACTCCAGAGAAATCAAGGTGTTAGCAAGCTCCACACTGCAGTCCAGGATTTTACTGCACTGCTTTCATTAAGGCAGGAGAGGCTGCCCCAAAGCGCAGTTGGCTCTAGGGAAGGTTTGCAGCACCGTGGTTCAGCGCCGAGATGGGGGTGGGTGCCAAGGAGCGGTGCCTGCTGACTTTGAGACGCTACTCAAGTATTATTTGGCTGCAGTAAATTTCCAAATGAAAATTTGTGGTTTTGACTGCAATGAATAGCACTCCATGAAGAATTTTGAAACACCAAGAGAAGCTGAATCCAGGAAAAAATAACAATTGAAGGCTCTTGCAGCAGCATATTCCAGAAGAAGGTGGACAGCAGTCACRGGTCCCATTAATAGATTGTTCCAAACACCACAAGCAACTTCCTAACGTTTCATGGACGGTTTCCGCTCCCCTGTACTGTTCCTCCCRCCTCTCGACACATTTTGAGTTTTGCACTGGCAGAGCATCATGGAAAGGTATCTCAAAAGGATGCTGCCCCAATAGAACTTGTGCACTCTAGCATTTGCCATAACTCAAATGTTAAAGAAAAATTGGAACTTTTTTCTCATAAAAAAGCTAAACACATAATTTACCTGAACTGCTATACCACAGCCAGCTCTTCCTGTAAAGATAGAATTAAATCCACAAATATTGGAGAGGCTCTTGGATGCAAGCATGACTGTCCTATATTCAGTAAAGCAATGACACACTAAAAGTGCCTAGATCAGCTGTATATTATTCGTAAAGGCCAAACATATGAAAATTAGTATTGTATAAAACATGGTTACTTGAAACTCTAGATCACAAACTCCAATTCCAGCCAAGTAAATAAAGATGAAAGCTGGTACCGTGCAGGGACTGGGGACCAGACCCAAGCGAGTGTGTCAGGCAGGTCTCACACKGGCACATCAAAAGAGCTGCTTGGCCCCCTTCCTGGCAGGGCTAGCAAAGCAGCCCGGGACTGAATAAACCCACTGGAGGATTTTATTTCTAAATATAAGCCCTCTACTTCAGGAGTGAAAATAAACTGGAGAGCCAAGCGCTGCCACTGCTACCGCTTTGCCCGTTTCACAGATAAGATTAAGTTAGACCTTGTTGTGCAGGATGCCAGGCTGGTGCTGACCCGCCGCTGTGCATGCATACGTACATACATGTGCATACATTGCGCAGGCATATGTGCACCCATCCCAATGGGTGCCGCTGGCACTGGTGACTGGCAGAGGGCAGGAAGCAGCGGGAAGGTCCTGCAGCGCGGAGGGGTCCCATGGGATCTTCTCCGCTTGCCACCATCAGACACGTCGAGCAGACTCTGGCCAGCCAAACCACTAACTATGAAAAACTCCAAAAATACACAGCAAAAAGGCAAACTGGTTGTTTCTACCACCCCTCTGAACCTTCTAATCCGAGAACCTAACCCTCAACAGGGGGATTCTGGGGAAACTGAAAATATTTCAGCTTGGCTGAGATAAGGGTGAAGTTGTTTATTTCACACATCTCTACAGCAGCACTAGAGCCAAGAAATACTTCTCAGTTATTTTCAACAAAACATGACAAATGTACCAAACTGGCAAGAAAGGAACATTTTTCTGCAGAATTCTTTAATGTCCAAACCACTGCTCACACAAATTCCTCTTCCCCAGTGTGTCAGTAATCTTTATTAATTATTTTGTCTATTTTGGGACTTTTACTAAGTAAATCAGCGCAGAAGATGTCTGAAATTTCTGCTACAAAAGCACACCAATACTRAATAGTGTACACTGCACTGGGAGCACACTTCTATCCTGCAGGAACCTAGGAAAGGCATCTTTCTCCAGCTTTTTCAGTAAATCCTGGACCTGCAGCATATTCCAAGAACTATCTCTTGCTCTTGGCTCTGATAAGCAAGGAGCCCTTTGCATTTTTCTGACTCGGAGCTGCAGCCAGCTCAAGCAAGCAGCGCTTGCACAGAAGATGACTTGCAGGGAGAACAGGATGGGAAACCTACTCAGCGCATAACCATAAATTGAAGCTGTAGGAGTGGAAAAGTCCATACGACATGAGACCTGCTCTGGGTCCTGTGCTACACAAATCACATCCCGTGTCTTCTGAAGCAACCATCAGCTTTATTCTATGA